GAAGTAACCAGGGGAGCTTGTTCCATTTTACCCCGTTCCGACCCAAATGCGTGGGACAAAAGGGTGCCTTGTGTGCTTCGTTGCGCTTAATGCGCTCGGGGTCGCCGGGGACCCACCAGTGTATTTACTTTGAACGCAAAATTTTACTTTAAGGGGTGGTTTCATCCTGGAGAACCGAATATTAACGAAAACGAAAAATTGCCTAATGCTTCTACTGAGTTCGGAGCACCAAAGTTCCCTTGTAAGTTCAATGTGAATAAATTATACACAGTGATTCGCATACTCGTTGACACAAATAATTATTGAACGTAACCAGGCGTGTTACAATTTAGTATTACGATTTAACATTCTATGTTTATATTCCGACTGTTTCCTTAAATCATATTTTTCCGTTTCTTACAACGATCCCAAATATATTCTCTGTCCAAAGAATTGAAGAAGGAAGACATTAACGGCATCGGCAAAAAGAAAGGCTGATGAACGTGACTATTACGTAGCCACGAGTGATAAACAACGAATAGGTATGTCGCGTGAGGCATAACATCAATAACGAGGTTAGTCTTTATCTACTCGTTGATTAGTTTCAAACTACAGACATTTTAGCGACCGCTTATGCCCAGTTTACTGCTGAATACAAATCGATTATAGAACTTAGTACAATCGAACGAATCGCAACAAAGTAACGGCAAATCATAAAAAAACTTTCTAGTAAAAAAGTTTTCAAAAAAGAAATTATTCTGAAAAAGTTCTTTCCATCAATATTTATGTAAAAGTACATGCAGTATTAGATCGGTGTGCACGGAATTTATCATTTAATTAGGAAAAATCAAACGAATAAACTGTTTTCTATTAACTCTATTAATTTTATCAAAACAATTATCACCACTTGTATGCATCTGTCTCGGCGACTAATCCAGTCATTTACGGATTTGCGATAAATGTTTCTTGGTGAAAAAAATTCTCACAATTCGCTTTAAATATATCCATTTTCATAGTTTTCACGAAGTCATTTGTACAACGCGAGGTCTAACGTAGTCATGCAGAAGGATCGACACGCTTTATCTTCATTGTTAGGTAGTATGTATATCAATGAGTAATGCGGTATGTTTCATAAAAATTCAACGTTTAAGTACGTTTAAGGAAATCAACAGCTAGTGTTGTTTTAATAATATTCGTTATCTTGCCATTTGTCAAAAAACATAGACACTTAAAATTTAAATTATGATACTAGCTTATTAAAATAGATAGTAGTGTGCTTGTTAGTAACCTACAGTAAATACGGCTGAATCTTACAAAATCCTTTCACAATTTCTTGTTTAGCACTAAGAAACTATTACCTGTTGCTATCCTTGAATACCTATTCTAATAAATATTCATAGAGGAAGGGGAGCATAATGGGGAAGCTAAGAAAAAATTAAAATAAAATGATAATTATACCTCTTAATTAAGTCTTTATGGGTCACAATAAATGAATTAACAGTTTAGTATTTGGCAGATGCTTGGAACAAAATTCATACGCCTATATCTTTACGTACTCCAGTATACATACACCACGAATAAACACGATTCCCTAATGTCTTCACAGTTCTACTATAATTTCACAAGAATACTATAAACGTAGTCATTAGTAAGACTAGAACAACAGTTCCCACAGGATCCCACGATTCATGATTTCGTAACCATACGCACACGGATACTCACGCCGGTACGAATCCCTATTTTCTCAACAGAAAAAGTTCAAGTTCGAAGCGCTTAACGGGGAACGATCTATCGCATGCTCCGCGTGAACTTGGCTCGTCGAAGCACCACTCGATGCGATGCTCGTTAGTTTATGCAATTTAACGAGCAGAACCTCTCGAATGGCCTTCTGTATAACGAACAGGGACGACCTCGCTCTCGAAGTTCCGTTTTTTTCTTTCTCTCTTTCGGATCTAGGAGGCAGGCCTACGAGGACTTCAATCGCGTAGCGAACGTAACCGGTTTCACGGTCGGAGACCGAGACCGACCGGGTATACACGGTTTCAAAAGAGGAGAGGACAAAAAACCGCGACCCATTCCGAAGCGAGTAACCTTCGACCCGCTCGACGACTCGTTTCGGGCGTCGATCACTTCTTATTCGTCGGCAGAACGATCCCTAGCCGACGACCACCTAGCATCTCACTTTCTATTCGATCGATCTGCGATCCTTTGCTCGATTTTGTTCTTTCTTCAACGAACAACCAACACCATTCGACGATCGACGCGTGTGTTCTCTTGTCGGTCGAGTGTTTTTTTTCAAATTATTTCAAAATTACCAAAGAAATATTTTGTTGTATGTTTGTGTAGATTACATAACATATAAATTATTCACAACAATATTTTAACATTCTGAAACAGTCTAATGCTGTTTCTCATTCGTTATCATTTGACAACTTTTTTACACTTACCACGGTTATGTATAATAATTCTTGGTGCAATGTTATAGTACATAATTCCCAATTTCTTTTACCTTTGATCAATAAACCGTTTTGAAATATTTTAAAGAAATTAGAGTTTTGTATGTATCTATTATATTTGTAATAATGCTCAACACTTGAATTCCACCAAAGGACGAATAATATCTTATTTTACCAATATGATTTTAAATAAACATTCAAATTTGTGCTGTACCATCTATACAAGACTAGAAGAAACTATAACATACAGATACGAAAAAGTACATGACTATTATTTTATTTCATAATGTAAAATACGTAGCCATATGGCAACAATGCGATCGAAAGGGTTAATCCTTATTCGGATTTTCAAAAGATAGTTTTCTAGAACCATTATTTCTGCAACTAGTAAGTGCAAACGAATTTCCTTTGTAACATTCCAAACAGTAGGGGGTTGCAGAAATTTTCAAATAATTATACCAACACACATTAAAACGTGCTTACTTTAAAGATAATCCAAAGAAGAGTTAATCGTACTCTAAACGTTCTTCCATTTCCACAACTCTCTCGTTACCGTTTCGCTATAGCAATTCCAAGCTTCCGCATTTAGATGAAACTTTCTCGTCATAATCAAGTGAATGCACTTATACATACGTTGACGCAACGATCTCGTACGTTTTGGAAAATGACTAGAGACTTTGGTATACAGTTTTTTTGAACGTAAATAATGGGGGTGAACGCATGAGGGTTCGACGGAAAGAATTATTCCTCGTGGAACTCATTGTCGGTCCGAATTCCGCGACACTGTGAGTGCTGTAAACAAATTCCATGTTCGCCAGCTAGTGGTAATATTCGGAGTAAATCCGTTTCTATCTTCCGCGAGTGAAACTAGGGACGAACTTCGATGGGCATAATTTTATTCGAATACATAGTGAGAAGAAGCAGTATCTAAGATCGTCATCTTGACTTTTAAACAGTTCATGAGATTAAATAATTGTTTGCAAAGTGTCTACTCATTCAAGAAGAAATATTATTTTATGATAAAGATTGGAATTAGCACGATCAATCAAGTAAAAATGACGAAATATTTTTTTCATCTTTTATTCGTTATTCGAAACTTTTTATCTAGATAATGAATTTGCCCATCTCTGGGACGAAGACAGTAGCTCAGCTGACAAAACGGTAACCACCCTTGGATTGAATGATTTTTGTGTTTCCGTTTAGACTCGCCACCCTGTACATGAACCATTCAGAATTTAAATTGATCAATCCCACAAAAGAAAAAGCGGTGAAACTTGATAATGTTAAAAACATTACTTTTTAAAACATTGTTTCGAGTATTCCAAGACAAAAGTTATGTCAGGAGCATTTGACGACAGAATAGCTACTAAGTTATTGCTTAGATAGGTATAAAGTCGTTACACCATGTTTTCTCGTTCATACGACTTCTTTTCTGTTTCATTTTGTTCGCTTAAAACTCAACTGCCTTCACTCACGTAGCTATAATTAGATGAATTTATTTATGTTTCCAGGGTAGCACAAAAATGGAATTTTTAACCTGTTCATTGAATATGTATTTAGTTATTGCGAGTAGCGAAAGTATTCCAGTGTGCAAACAACTCGTTAGTTTATTATTAAATTCATTAATTTCCATTATAATGTAGGTTGGAAAAAGTAACGAAAAATTATTCGATAGACAATAAATTAATAGATTATTTTCATTACGTAGTGAAACCATTTGCACTTTCCTCTTAACCTTTTAATAGACAGAGAAGAGTTAATTCATCGTTTGAAAATACCCCGTCAATAGGCAGGGCGAGTTAACTCTGTTTCTTGTCATTTATCGTTACACAGCTAGAGTATCGTCTTTGATCGAAAAATATGCCGGTTTAAATCATCTGTATCCTTCTGCTATTAACTTTATCATTCTCTTTCTATCCGAAATAACAATAGCACATATTCAGTTGTTAAGAAAAGAACAATCCATCAGATTCATAAAAAGATTAGCTCTACTGATTACATGGTAAAAAGAATCACACGAACGGTAAACAGAAAAGGGTCTAAAACAATGGGAAACATGTATCTTCTTAGATCAGAACTAACGTTGCATGGATTCAAATAAAGGTGACCATTAAACGTGATTATCATTGGCGTAACTAGGAGGGGCCAGGGGGGGCCTGCCTGGCCCTCCCCGTTCAGAAATTATTAAAATATGTAAAAAAACATTTGTCAGTTCGTAAAATCTTCAATTTCTTTTCGCATTTTTTTTTAAGAACTATGTTCGTTTTCCTACTCTTAGTTTTAGTGTTAATATTTAAATAATTATTGTAAAATGTGCAACTTTATTTTGTGCAACCCACGTACATGGTATAAAATACATACATGTGCCTAATAAGGAGCGTTATGGGCGAAAATCAGGGGATTTGGCCCCCCTCAGACAAAAATCCTAGTTACGCCAATGGTGATTATTAACAATTTTAGATAACAATGTAAGGTCAGCTATTACCATTCGTTACGACAGTGTATTTAAATCATCAAACACGCGTTGTTAATATAGTATCGTTCAGAAAATCCATAAAAACTCACATTTTATCCAGGCTCCCGACGTGGTCCACGTGGCCTTGGTTAATGGTCGAGGAGGCACGAGGGGTGGCAGAGCTATCCCCCACGGTGTCTTCGAACTCTCAAGAGCGTCTCACATGCTCTCGTCTGCTCCACGGTAATTCTACGTAAAGTCACTCGCAGTGAAAAACCGAGAGCAGTCGAGCGCGCGGTCGACCGACGGACCAGGAAAAATCACCGGTACTTTCGCGTGTCTCTCTTTTGACAGGGAAAATAACGGAATGCACTGTTCGTCGTTCGAATACCTCTCGATGAATTTCTCTCGGAAAACTGCCTTTACCGCCGTATATTATCCTCGACACGTCTCGATATTCCACGTAAACAATTCCGATCGCATCGATTGCAGGCTGTTCGAAGTGTAATCGTTTCGAGCAGCCCGCGCGAGCTCCTTACACGCTTCTCAAATCGGACCGTTTCCGCAAACGGCGGCAACAAACCGAATGACCTTATCGCCGTACACGTACTGACAATTCGTATCGGCCGACCTACCAACCGCAACCGTCGGTGGCCAGTTCCCTCTCTACCGCCATCTATCGTCGACGTTCTCCTTTAAATACGCTCGATGATCCAACAGAGAGAACGTAAAGTCCCTAGGCGGCGCGATTGTACGATTTTCGAAAGTCATCGTCCGATTGTAGCTGATGATTAATTAATCGCAATCGTGGTCTGTTTTTTATGAAATTGAACAAATAAACACGTCGGCATGAAACGCGTGCTCTTAAAATACAGAATTGAATATTTTTTTAGTTCATAGCCATGTGATCTATAGGTTAATCCATGTTTCAACATTATGAATCATTAACAAAGAATTTAATGATAAAGCTGCAGTGTGTTTAGATCGAGGAATGTTTGAATATCTGAAAGTCGGTTAGTGGGGAATCGTAAGAACCTAGGGAGAGTCAAATGCAGCAGTAGCTCCACCAGCGGTAGCACCACCACCATCGTTTCATCAGCAGCTCCGTCATCGGTAGCGAGCGAAAGAACGAGGTCTTCCGTTCCGGCATAATAGTCGTGCGAGTTGGCAGTCGCGTGGTTCTGTGCTGTCGTTTTTCCGATTCCCTGTAGCATTCCCAAGGAAAAGGACACGCGAGAAGTTCGTGTACCGTAGGTTCACCAGTGTGTTCGGTTTGTACGCGTTTTCCAGCAACATGAATGAAGAATACGATGCGATCGTGCTGGGCACCGGGCTCAAAGAGTGCATACTCTCGGGTATGCTGTCGGTCAGTGGAAAGAAAGTACTCCACGTAGATCGCAACAAGTACTACGGCGGTGAATCCGCCTCCATCACGCCGCTGGAAGATCTGCTCGCGTAAGTCCCGTGAAATTCCATCGCGTTGTCTTGACCGATTCATTTTTCCAACGTCGAACCGTAACTATTGCCGGCATACCAGGCGCATCTCTGAACCCGCGATCGACGAACCGTCACACGGTGACTCGTCTTAAATATTGATTTTCCCTACTCGGTTGTTTTCTCTCGGGGATAGATTCGCTGTTCGCGTCGCCGCTTGCATTCGAGTTTCTCCGTCAAGCGTATCGACGAGACGAAGCGTGACGTATACCGTCACCCGCGATAATACGTCGTTGCTGTGCGGCAGCTACCTCTAAGTATTTCATCCCTTTCTAAATGATTCCAGCGGAAGGTTGGCTAGAATGCCACTCGATACGAACACAGGGGGAGGGGCCAGCCCCGCAAAACGCACGTTCGATCGAACGTGGCAAAATCGGCTGTAACAGTTTCTCCGTTACCTGAACAGGAGAATCGTATTGTTTTCTTGTCGAGGCACTTTTTTACTTAACTTGCTCTTTCCTCGTTTCTCTCGCTCTTGCGTCTCCTTCGAAATGATACGAATCCACTGGATTGTTTGAAAAGTGATTAAACGTATTGCAAGATTTATAATCACTGGACTGACAATGCTTATGCATTTTTATAGAATGATTTTCAGAAACAGGATTTAAATAGTAAAGAAAATGTCTGTGTTCAATTATTATTTTTTAATGTTTTCATTTCGTTATGCTTTTCTCGATCATGGCTACAGGAAATCTATAAAGCCCGCAGTCTTATAATTACATTAGGTTGCACCTGGACAGTTACAAAGAGGAAATATTAAGTAATAGAATGCTGAGCGTACCGTTACTTGTATGCCATCCTTAATCTACTGTACGTGAAATTGAACATATGTCGCATGCCTATGTGGATTCGAGATTATAAAAACCGATATTTGTTACTCTGCAACCATTATTCTGTACTGAACAAATTCCGCAGTTTTTCGCCATTTCGACTTTTATATAAGATCATCTTTCGCGTAAGCGAAAACAATCGTGTTCTGAGTAAGATAACAAGGTGATGTATTTCCTAACATTAACAAACGAAAACGATAACACGTTCGCGCGATTGCACTTCTGGTTCATCGGAGAGGCAGTTATCGAATGTCCGGCTGCACTCAATAAATTGTAACACGCATCTAAACTACCCGTCTGTTGAAACAGAGTAACCATTGCTTTGACTGCATTGGACTCGCGTATAATTCCATGCGAAGAACGTTTCGAAAACAACGTGAAAGTAAAGGGAAAACTCGTTGTGTGCTGTAATAGAGAATTATAGACTAATCAAATGTTCACAATTATTGAAGCAAAAAAAACAACTTTTCCATAATACCACGTAAAGAGAGTACATGTATGCAATTTTATAACTTTTTCAATAAAATACTCCTATCTGCTAAATGCTTCGTTTGATCAGTGGAAATTGATGAAAACTCCTCCATCGCAACGTAAACATAAGCATCTGTTTGAATTTCAATTTATCAACAATCCGTATTCATAACAACAATTTTTACGAAGAGATTACTTCTAATAATTTTAGTATCACCATGATTGAGAAGTGTCTGGTAAAGTAGGAGTTCTCAACCTGATCGTTAACGATTCACGAAAAGTCAATCAAAAAACCTTTATTATGTTTACATATCATAATGTAATACTACCTATTAATAATATCGTATTGAGACACAAAAAAATTGTATTCGCAATGAAAGAAATAATCGCGTACAGCACGTTGCCCTTATCATTAATTTCAGTTTGTTGGGTTATCTAGGAAATTCAAGGCCCCACCACCGGATGAGAGTTACGGTCGTGGCCGCGACTGGAACGTTGATTTAATTCCCAAGTTCCTGATGGCGAATGGCATGCTGGTGAAACTACTAATTCATACCGGCGTGACACGGTACCTAGAATTCAAAAGCATTAGCATTGTCCAGTGACCTAATGGGCCTTTTTGAGAAGAGACGTTTCCGTAGCTTCCTAATCTGGGTGCAAAATATGCAAGAGGACAAACGGGAAACCTGGGACGGTTTCGACCCATTTAACAATAGCATGAGCGCGTTGTACAACAAGTTCAACCTCGATAAAAATACTCAAGATTTTACGGGTCACGCATTAGCGCTTTATAGGTAAACGATTGTTACCATGATTTATATGTTTATAACTTTATAGTGATCGATTGAATATGATACGTTGCCGTTTCAGGGACGACGACTACATTAGCCAACGTGCAATTACGACTATAAGAAGAATTAAATTGTACAGCGACAGTTTAGCGCGTTATGGAAAATCACCGTATCTCTATCCTATGTACGGGTTAGGCGAGCTTCCCCAAGGTTTCGCCCGACTTAGCGCCATTTATGGTGGAACATACATGCTAGACAAACCGATCGACGAAATCGTCGTGAAGGACGGAAAGGTAAAAATATTCAATCATATAATAATTAAAGAATATTTGAAGTGAAACTTCGTAATAATTAATTATTGATTCTTTATAGGTCGTCGGTGTACGTTCTGGAGATGAGGTAGCTCATTGCAAACAAGTATTCTGTGATCCCACGTACGTACCTGATCGCGTACAAAAAGTGGGTCAGGTCATAAGATGCATTTGCCTCTTAGACCATCCTATACCAGGCACCGGAGACGCTCTCTCTACACAAATTATTATTCCCCAGAAACAAGTAGGCAAATTCATGTCTTAGTTGTATTTGGTATTCAAAAAACGACACTAAGGATAAACATAATTTCTTTTTGTTCTGTAGGTTAACCGTAATTCCGATATCTACGTATCTCTAGTATCGCACACTCATCAAGTAGCGGCGAAAGGGTGGTTCATAGCCATGGTGTCTACTACAGTCGAAACGAAAAATCCAGAAATCGAGATTAAACCTGGTCTGGACTTACTCGGCCCGATCAGACAAAAGTTCATATCAGTAACCGACTATATGGAGCCAACCGACGATGGCTTGAACAGTCAAGTCTTCATATCGACAAGTTACGATGCCACCACACATTTCGAAACTACTTGCTTAGATGTCCTTGATATATTCAAACGAGCTACCGGCGAAGAGTTTGACTTTCAGAAAGTGAAACAAGACCTAGGCGAGGAAGACCAGTAACCATAAAACAATTACCACCGCTGGTTATTTTCGAAACTAGTTCATCCTGAATTAAAAAAAAAAAACACGAAAACGAGTGAGCAACGTAATTTAAGTATGTACCGACTACGTCGGTGTTTATTCGAGTCTCGAGGCAGATGCAATCTGCTAATAGACTCATGCCTAACAATTCGAAATTCTCTTTCGCAGAGAATTATTAAAGGTGAAAAGTATCCAAAATTTATTTTTTAAGTTTAAATATCATTCTACGAACTATCCTGAGTACATTTTTGTCTGAAATACACAAATACGACATATTCTCAAAGGGTTGATGATGAAACTTGTACCGTCTGTCATTTGAATATTTTCGATACATTCTGAACGGAGAACGAAATAAAATTTACAGGACGATTTGAGTGTCTCCATACATTTACCACCACCAGTGCGTTTTTAGAGTAAATTAACACGACATCATAAATATGTCATATTTTAAGTATCAAATGAAAGAATACGAATTCATCAAAATTGTAAATTTGAATGAATTTTTGTAGATGTACTGTTACTCGCAGTCGTTGAAATAGAGTTACGAAATGAGGTACAAGATGAAGGTAATTTAAAAAAAAAACAAGTAAATCGACGCGCTGATATCTAGATAGTATGCCGATGCCACGGTGTAGTAATAGTAATTATACCATATTTCTGCACATTTAGTTGTGATATTATTTGAGAACTCCAAATATGTATATCAAACAAAAATGCATGAGCTACAGCACTCATAAAGAACAACTGCCTGTAACTGAGATTAATTACAGGGGAGAAATCTATATGGAAGTATTAGGGGAAAAAGGTTAAGAGAGCGGCCAAGCATATAAATATAAATTAAATAGTTAAATGTATATTATTTCTCATTCTCAGATATACAAGAATGAGAGTATAAAAAAGATGAAATCGTTGAAACGTTGTTACTTTATGTGAGCTTGAGAACCAGAATATTTCCTTATCCAGTATTTATGGTCACTATCAATTAAGGGGACGTATTAATAAATTGAAAAAAGACAGTTATACACAAACACGCATTTTCTTCGAAATGTTGTACGTGCACATCAATGTATAGGCGAATGTTTTGTTACCAAGTGATTGGCTATTTCTCAGAATTTTTATTTCGCTTCTATTCTTGCTTGAAGGTATAAGCGCACCGCGAATTCATATCACGTACGAAATTCATTGAACGGCGGTTACATGTTGCGCCATTACTTTATCTAAAGTGTTACCCACGTAACTGTAAATGTGACAGTCGCAAAAAAAATAAATGATATTGTATTAATTTCATCAGTCTGTATTCCTAGCGTCTCTATCATAATATATTAATGGGGCAGATTTAAAGTAAATAAAAAAACAAGTTATACATTAATCAACCTATAAGTTTTAACACATAAATATTATTATCTCGGCATCCAATTATAACGATGTCATTGTAAACAACTGGCGACGAAAATACTTCACCAGGAAGCTTTTCAGTTTTTGTCAATGTATTTGTTATAAAATTATAAATATATAGAGTGCCATCTGTACATGCTATAAACAAAATGTTATTTTCGCACCAGGGAGTTGCAAAAACTGGTGACTCAAGGCTCAATACATATTTCAAAGTAGGTTGAGTTCTAAAGTTCGCATCTGTCGATTCCAAATGATACAGATTCTTGTTCTGACTAGCTAAAATTATACTTTCGCGTCTTGTAAGTGGATCGTTTTGCTTCACAACATATGCAAATACATTGCCATTGACCTTGTATTGCCACATCTAGAAATCATGGAACAAAATGAAGTATTTTATAAAAAAAACTATGCTGAATATATATTACCTTAACATTAATTTCAATGTCAAAGCATATCAGTGTTCCTGTTACAGAGCAAAATAAGACAAGACCGGTGCTTAACGTCACTGGTGGAATGAAAATAGGATCCGTTAATTTATGTCTCCAAATAACTTTTCCTGACGATTGTTCTAGCGCCAAACAAGAACCGTCTAAAGTTCCAAATAACACGCAATCTGATGGTAAGTGTAAACAGCCAGAAGCACTAATACTTCCACTGCTAGTCTTATCTTTCCAAATTTCAAGTCCATCCTAAATTGAACTCTTTTTTAGTTGCTAAAATAAGCAGAAAGCAAATAGGTGTATGTACCTTTATAGAGAGGCAATATATATAACAATCATACGATCCAACAAATATTTTTCTTCGTTCTTTGCAAGCTACTGCTGAACATTTCACAACATCTCCTGTCTGATGTTTCCAGATAACTTTCCCTGTTTTTAAATCTATACAATAAACATTACCATCGTAACACCCTGCAAATGATAAAACTAAAGAATCTAACACAAATTTTTTGTGTAGCAAATAAAACTTACCTACTATACCCCTGAAATCATCCAAAATTAAAACTGAAGCTTCAATTCTATCAGGTAATTTAACTGTGAATGCAGGAAAGCAACTTTCCAGTTCTAATTGAAGTGTGGTAATTAATCCAGAATGTGATCCTACTGTTGCATATGTCTTTTCACTAAATAAAATATCGATTACTTGAGATGAAAGGTCTACCTAATGCTACTTGTTGAATTCTTACTTACTCTGAGTAACGAAATATAATTGGCGATGCGTCTATACACTTGTATAAATTAAAGGTTTTTAATATCTCAATTTTGGAAATTGTATTGTATTGTAATTTAGATACATTATCTATACTCGCAGATTCGATATTTATGTGTCCTTTGCATTTGTGCCACTGATATTTATAAACTGGAGTTTTCCTAATCACTGATCCAGAATCATAATTCTGTGCATTAGATTGTTTTAATAATACCTTATCTTGCACTAAATTGTGAATTAAAGGTATTATTTGTTTGTTATTAGGGGCAGATTTAAAGGAGTTAATTGTTGTATCTTTGACATCAGATATTATACTTGTTACATAATTAAAACATTCATCAATAGTAGCATCATTTAATAACATGCCAATTAATTCAGGAAATTCCACATTCATTTGTTTAGACATAGTACTTGATATTTGCAATGCTATTATAGATGTACCACCTAATTTTAAAAATCCACTGTTTTCACCATTTAAACTATTTCTCCAAAGAGACCTAAGAATTTCTTCAACTTTTTGGGTATCAGTATTGTTTGTTACTGTATTTATCATTTGTTCGTCTATACACTTTTTTAAAAAATTTGTAGAGATTTTTCCACTGGAGGTAAATTCAAAATGTTCTAAAAAAAGAATTTTGTCTGGTCTGTACAAAGGATGTAAATTTTGTAAGTGTTCTACCATGACATTATTCATGATGGAATAATCAGTAACTTTCTCCTTAGTAGCTAAACACAGATACAATTTGTGGTGGCTCTCATCCCATAATACGTAACAATTTTTAATAAACTTTACTTGTAATACAAATTTTTCTAGTTCTGTCAAATGTATCTTATTTCCAAATCTTTTTATGATATTATTACTCCTTCCTTTATAAAATATTCTACTTTCTTCATCAATCTGGAAGAGAATCACGTTTATTATACACAATATATTTTATATTTTAATAAATATATTATGTATATTAATGTATAATATATTATGTATCTTTTAATAAATATATTATATTATATTTGCTTACATAAACTATGTCACCACTGTCACGAAATAGTGGTAGATTTAAATCTTGTACATTTTCATCATCTATCACACATATTCTGCTACCACTTCCTACATGGAAACATAAATCTTGAATATTTTTTATACCAATAAGAAAATATCAACAAGTTATGAAAAATTAAAGAACTACCTATATAAAGAAAGCCTGTACCGTTTGATACTAGTTCCCCTTTTTCATTTTTAACTTGAAATGTAGTTTGTGATAATACTTGTCCTAGGTACTGTGTGTTAGATTGCATGTCTGTAGTTATAATTTCATTGATACTAGCCCAACAAGATAGTTCTGTGATACCATAAATATTGTAGAATCTTGTATTATTACTAGGATGCTTTGCTTCTAAAAATAACTCTAATTTGGGAAAAGGTTCTCCACCTAAAAGAAGAACTCTGAGTGAAGTATTACCACTTAGAATAGTGGCCTTTAGTCGTTCGGTTGTCCAATTGTACAAAAAGACTGATGGAGTCATTTGCAATACAGTAATTTGACTAGAATAAGCTACTTCCAAAAATCTGAAAGCAGAGGATGCTTTGGTGAACAGAAATTTCTATTGGAAACAGCAGGAAACAGAATATCTTCTTGTCTTTACATTTACCTATTTGCATTATTTTTCAGTGACTTTGAACTCATAAATAATGTTCCAGCACTTGATAGAGCAAGGAAAATTTCAATGATACTTGGATCGAATGTGAAGCTTGTAAACTGAGCAATTTTGTCACATTTTTGGATATTTAATTTTGCTTTCAAATCTAGTATGTTGGGAATTATACAAGCATGCATTACTTTAACAACTTTTGGTGCACCAGTTGAACCAGAAGTACAAATAGCATAAGCATAATGATTTCTGTCACTGTACTGCATATCTTGCTTTTGATTTTCTTTCAGTTTCATCAAATATATACGTTCACCATGTATTATAAATTCCTTCATAATATTTCCTTCAATTATTGTGTCTTTGCAAAATAAATAATGTATATGTAACATATTTTTTAACTTTGTATACTCTGTTTCATTGACTGGTATAATTACAAAACTAAATTCACAACTTAAAATCCTATAAAACAAACATGTTTGAGTTTTTTAATTTCATGTCACATTATATTAATACCTTAGTTCGTCGAAACTCTTACCCAAGCATTAACGAAATTACACAATATTCAGGAACATCAAAATTAATGCCAATAAATTTGAAACCGTTTATGTTTTGTAAGAAATCAGAAAGCATAGTTTTTGTAACAAGAAGTTCTTTATAACTTATGCAAATAGTTCTGTTTAAGTCATGGTACTCAATTGCCACATTCTCAATTTCATACCAGTTGCAAATGTCATATAATTTTGTTACCATACTTAATGGCTTGTTGCAATGAGGAATATTTTCGACTATGGTATCTGAAATAGTTACTCATAAGTTAACATTGTCACTTTATGATAATTGTTAACTTTTAATTTATAGTAATATTAATTTGAAAAATTGTAAATACCCATTATTACATGTCATGAAATATTTTTTATTTGATATAAAAACTATTCCTCCTATTTGTAATTCATATGTTTATTGACATTAAGAATTATGTCAACTGCTGTCGTTACACAACATTTTCTACACTGTCGGACCAAACAATTACCCACTCTATTCTGCAACTTGACAGTCATTAGATCATTAGATAAAATGAAAGTTACATTTTATGCTGCGATGTTCAACTGCATTCAACTGCATTTTAAAAACCATAGAATACAGAAAATGCAACTTTTTGCGTGTTTTTTTCAACAGTGTCTAAAGAAGAATGTGATGCCGTCTAGCGTCTAACTTATGGTATTTATTCCAATAGTACCCTATGAGTTTGGCCGTAGATTGTACTGTGAGTCTGTTTCGACCATTTCTAATTATCTATGAGAATCATCTTATAGTGCCACCACGTAACGAAGTGAAGTACTAAGTGGATTGTAGCTTGCACGTTTCGCCTCAAATAACACCACAGGTCTTGTTTTCTATGACTACGTATCATAACATTACACATTAATTATAAATTATTACAACCAAGAATTGCTGGTTCATACTATCGCTTCAGAGAAATTCTACAAACAATTTATAACTGTTGAAAAAGGTTTTTAATCGTAACTTGCAAGGTGTTCCAACGGTGTTCACGTATGGTAGTTAAATGTGTGTAAATAATTATATGAAGAAATTTCTTGTCATACCTTTCACAACAGATATGTAATTCACAAAATCTAAATTTTTAATTATTCCCCATAGGTCTATTAATGAGTGTACAATTTTTGTAACTTACAGTTGTTGTTGCATGTTCATAGGAGCAATTGGAAATGAAATTGCTCATGATAGAAATAAAACTTATATTCTAAACAGATGAAACAGAATCTTCAGATCTAATAAATGTACTAAATATTATGCAGATCTAATACACTGCTAAGTGAATGTAACAATGGTACAGTAATATTCATTTATATTTTTGTAATTCCTACTTTGTATGGTAAATAGTATTACTAAACGTTATACAAATAATTTGGGATAAATAAACCATGTACACATCAATAGAATTTTCAGTATTAAATAGTAACTATGTGGTGCATCAATTGGAAGTTATGTGATTATTAAGGAATTGATTAAAATAAGACAACGGGTGCAAGAGATTGTAAATTTTCGAGCGTTAAGACAAATTTTTTAGTAAATCAAAATATTGAATACTCTTGAATGTTAATTTACTTTTCTTCACACCACTCGTTCTCTTTGCGCACTTGTTCTTCCTCCGATGCATTAAAATCATTTTTAATGTTAAATGTTTTTCGAATTTCATCAGGTGTTTTGCCTTTTATCATATTGGCAACAGTTTTGCATGTCACATCTAACAGTCCTTTAATATCGAGATAATTAGCTGCTAAAATTAATTCAAAAAGGGTTCCCTGATCAACCTGTAAATAAATTATTCATATATTTAAAGGTATATATAACATTTTTTTTTTTTTTAAGAATACAAGTGAACAAAGTATTCAACTGCTTGTGTCATAATGATATGCCACAAATATCCTGTATCGTCTTACCCATAATGAAAAATGACCTCTGTAAGCACATATCTATGTGCATCTGCCAGATGGCTATTTCAGTTACCACACATAAACATTCAATTAAAATGTAATTTTTATCAAGAGGTTTGTCGTGTATGTTTAATAATCATATGATAGTGCAAGGGATTAAATCATTATAACAAAGTTAAATGAAGTTACCTTTAAAAAGTCTGCATCCCAGGAACTTATATCATCTGTACGCTTTTCTTTGGTTTCCTCATCTTCGTGAGGAGGTGGATCATCTTTATGATAAGTAGCCCACTGTATTACTTTCCTGAGAATAGCAGAGTTAACATTTGGAAGAGGAACAACTTCCTCTTCGTCTTCGTCCATACCAAGATCTTCCAACATAGTTTTTATGGTAACTGAACATTTTGCAATATCAACATCCACCTCAAACACTTCTCCGTCCGAGCTTTGTAGCTTAATATTAGGCATCTGAAAGGGATTTCATACTACGTATGTACTTATCAACTACATTGCACTAAAAAATATACACTCTGCAGCGATGAAGTGCCCTGGTTTTTTATGTGTACACCTTTGTTTCGTTCGACTACGGTATGACAACAAACTAAGTATGTCGGAAAATTATTTACTTCATTTAATGTTAACTCACAATGAAATTGTTCATTCAAAATCGTTCGTTTCTGAAAATGGACAGGCACTGCATCGACATTTTTCGTGACACCTGCACTTAACATCGACGTTATTTTCGAAAATCAAACGTAACGTCGAGTAAAAAATTGAACAGTTGTCGGACACATGAAAGGGATTTGAAATATTCACCGTGAAACGCTGGCTGCAATTATTATCAAATGTTTTGCTATAACCCTGACGAGCGCGAGCTCCTTGTACAACTTTCTCGTTCTTACTTTAACTTTCGCACTTCTTTTATTCTGCTCGCTCGCTCGATCTCAACATTTCTTCTCTGTCCAAGATGTCTGCGTCCTTCTCAATTTATCGGATTCCTAGTTCTCTCCTTCTCACTCTTCTATTTCCATCTCTTTTGCGTAGTTTCTGGACACATGAAGCACACGCAGCTTGAATAACACGTTCCTTTAACCACTGCTAGATGTCGTTATTGTATTCTGTAACAGTGTAAATTGTAAGCGTCGGTGGAAGAATATTCAAATATTAAGTATATGTACAGATCGATGCAAAGTTTGTCACTTTCATTCGACGCTTCATTTTAAAATAAAATTATTTGCTTATGTCACGCTTTTTAAACTGAGCTGTCAAAATCGTATTTTAACATTTTAAAAATAGTCTTAAAGCTTTTGTTTCATAAATCTATTAAGTGTCAAAATGATTTTTTTCAGTAAACCAGTGCTGATTTAGTTCAAGGTAAAGATACTTACTTAATTGGTCCAGATTTTACATTAAATGTATACTGTTAGTAGTATTTCTCACAAAGGGAAATGATACGTGGCACAAAAGTTCGAGTACTCTATGAATTCAAAGTGGTATTCAAATCTGTATAATAATGTTCATACATGTAATCCATTGTCGACTAATTAGAATAATCAAACTTTTAAATTATCAAACCCTTTGCGCCATACTAATTATTTCAAGTGTAAAGTAAAAATATAAAATACTGAATGAAGTTTGCGTTCTTCTTTCCTGATCCAGGAATCAACGAACCAAAATCCTTATTTGAACAATGTCTGAATGAAAGATGTACAGCATCGTTTCAAATGTCGCATCGATAGACTATTAATCATTCACCAAGTATGCAGAGATTATCTACGTCAATAAGTCTCGCCTTGAAAGCGCAACAACGCGAAATGCTGAAAAATGACGTATGTAGTTTACAAGACGTGAAACGTATGCTTTGCATATCTTCTAAAACAATTCTTTACATTCCTCCTGAAACAATCGGAAGCTTCAAATTTTGATATTCAAAATGTCAAAAGCTCAATGCGAAAAATTTGATTAAAATATAAAGAGAAAAAAGATATTTCCCTTTTCTTTTCTTGTGTATAAATTATGTTCGTAGTTAAAAACATTTATGGACAACCCACAGTTCTTTCTTAAGGGATCTGTTCCTACAGTAATATAAATACTTTCATAAACTATTAAAGATTGAGGGCTTAGAATATTCCACAAACATCAGGTAAAACACTTATTTTAATTGTACAAGAGCTTTAGATATTTCATACAGCTTTGTACAAATCTAGTAAATCGTGTGTTTAGTGTGGCCAATGAATTTAACCGCGCTATCGATTATGTGTCAAAAAGCCTTTCACGTTTCAAAAATAAACTTATCAACTTATGTTTCTTTTTTGTTCACCTCACCTCTACAATATCTATTGTTCCGAGGTATGTCGATGTGTTCCGTGTAGGATGAATAAACAATATAATTGTATAAACACTATAAACGACAGAATACATCGCAGCATTGAGCAAAGCATCCCTTATAACAGGTGTCTCGAACCCCACTATATTCTCCTTGACTTAAAATAATAAAGTACACCTACGCCTATTCCATATTGTGATCGTATCCAAGTTCGAGTGGGCGCTTACTGTCGAATCTTCTCCTTGTATTAATTGCTCCGTCCGAAACTGTAACTCGGGCTATCATATTAATTGTCGTTATTCGAAATAGAGATATTTATTTAACCTGAATTTAAAAAAAAACTTTGTTTTTTATTTATTTTTAAGATTGATTATGTGACTAGAGGGGAATTCAAAGTGGTTAAACGGCACGGGACGAGAATGAAGAGGCAATGCGTCCCGGGAATATAGGGCGGAATGTTGCGAGGGGTGGTTAAGAAGATGCGGCTAACCCGGTTTCGTACTTCCTGCGTTGCTTATTTATTAAATATCGTATCTACAAACCAAAATAAATATGTTACTGTACTGCGTACATTAGAAACTTCAGCGTTCAACACTTTGAGTGCGGAATATTTCAAAGTTGAACATCTGTGGAGGACACCTCCTGAGAGAGACCTGAAGAATTCATTTTTACATATCATGTACCGTATAGAAATATCAATTATTTATCTATATAACGTATAATTAAGTCTTCGGTTTAACGTATTGCGTAAGTTTACACTCTTGTTTTATTTAAGTTTTGGTTTTGGTTTTAGGTTTTGGTTCTGTTTGCTCACTTGTAGCCGACTGCCACAACGATTATGTATTAGTTTTCATTACTATAATGCATACTCTGTCTTATTTTATTTATTTCAATTATATTTAACATCTTTGTTACAATAAAATAAGGAAAAAACAGATAACAAACGGATAATTCATGGTTGAGTCGGCAAGGGGTTCAGCGAATACTGTTTTGCAATCTCAACTTGTTTCAACGGAACGTTTCTTCGGTAAATAATTAAACAAATTAAATTAAACACTATGACTTTACCTCCACGGTGACTTTCCAAACGCTGGACACAAAACGAGCGGTAAGATGTTTGGGCGGAATGAGTGGATTTCGTTAAGTTCAGCGACTCTCGAGCCGATAGTTTATGGGGAGGGAAAGGGGTCGTTCGATGACGCAAAATCCCCTCAAACAGAATCTCCAGTTTCTCTATCATACAGCACGAACCAGTGGATTTTTTTTCTCGACGCAGCGCGGCGCCTACGAGTACATAACCGGATACGTAAATTTCCAAATTACAAGGTGTCGCATGAGAATCGACGGAGGGGGGAAAAAAAGAAGAAATTACACAGTAATATATCGTAACGATCCGGCTGATTTTCCGATAAACACGACAATAAAAACGAGAAGGAACGTGACGCTGTCGATTTCGAACCGTGAAATTATGCTCTACTATTACCCGAACGATTCTTCGCCCGAAGATCTATGTAGGCGCCAGCAATCTACGCTTCGCCCCCTTTTTCCAACCTCGCCCCTTTTAATCTCAACAACTGCCTTCTCTCTCTTTCTGTCAGAGATACGATGAAGGAAAAAAAATTGTATTACATTTCGTTTGTTCGCCGGTCCCATCCCCATTTCGCGAGGCCGTTCCTCGAAAAATCTCGGAGCAAAAATATAACCATCGTAACTCCGTTAGGAGCGCAACTGGCTGTACATACACGGAAGGGTGCTGGTCGGAACGATTCGACTGCCGTATCAAAAAGTTCATCCGGGTTGTCCATTGGCCGATCGAGCGACAAGCTCGCCAGCCGGCAGAGTAGTTTCAACGACGATGCGCCGGGGAAAGTGCATTAACGCGAGTTAGTTCGCCCGAAGCCGAACAAACTGATGTATACCTGGGCGTTTCACCTGCACAATCAGCGCGTGTCCACTTTTAACGGCTCGAAGGTTTCCACTCTCCTCTTGCTTCTATTATTGTCGAATAGAACGAAGGGTGGAGAATAATCTCTCAATGGTACAGAGAGAAAACGGTGGATCTCGGACGTTGGCGAAATTAAGGGATGGGGTTCGTGAATCGACAGAAACGGGATCACGATAGTTTTTTGAATTGTCCGTTTTTGTTTTTCTTTCGTGGGAGAAATGTTTCTTTTTAGGCGGAGGGAGAAAGAGTATTGTCGAGAGTCTGGTTTTTTAAGCCGATCCGGATCTCGGTTCGTTCACTAATCACGCTGGTCTGTCGAGTAGTGATTGGACAGAATTGGTCGAGCCGTGCGATAGAAGTCAGGATCACTGAATAGATCAGCAAATTGGGGGGAGAGAAGACACGAACGGAAGACGCCAGGGTGGTTCCGAACTCGGTCGAGTGGTCGTTTTTCGGCTTGTTGTCGAATGGAATTATACAAGAGCCATTAGCGTTATATTTATGGACAATAGAGGAAGGTCCGTTATTAATAGACTAAGTATGTTTACGTAAATATAAACTTACCCGAATAAATTGACAAAAATTGGAATCAGATAGAAATATTTTTACTCTGTTAAGGATTCTTTTAGATTCGAAGTAAAATAAAAGCATCATTAAATTTCATTAAACATTTTACTGTACTAAATTGCAGACACCTGAGTATCCTACAAATGCATAAAACCCGCAATCTAGTTATTAGACAACGGAGTTGTTCTTCACAAAAATATAAATCGACAGTCTAGATTGAGTTTCTTCAGTCGTTCCTAGTGTAAGTAGAACTGACAGATTATGAATAGACACAATAGCCGATTAATATTCAATTTAGTTTCTCGGTTTAATTAAATCTTCAAAGGCAATTGTCAGGCATCAAATTCTATTTCAGGACTGTACCGCCCTCTGTAGGTATATTTCCATAAATTGTCGTTTATTTCTCGATCGATTTTGTGATTGCGCAAACAATCTTTTTATCGGTTTAATGATATATTCCTCGTAGACCCTGGGAACCATCGAAGCCACGATGGAATATCCGAGTACAGAATCGGAGCTAATTAACAGAAGCATTAAAAGTTTCCAGGCTGAGTTTCAATGTAACACGAGAATAAGGCACGGCGGAGAAGGAAGTTCGCAGGAAATCCCAAAGCTTCCAAATGTTGCGTAACTGTTAATAGGGAATGAAACCGCTGCAGTTGGTGATAAACGATTACTTTAATATTCGAGACGCTGAGAAAAGGGAGGGAATTTCGTTTCAAAGGTAACGATTGAACGTGACGATCGTTAAAAATGTAGAAGAAATGGGAAGCGATTCGTTTGGCCGATGTTCAAATAAATTTCTCTCTCTCTCTCTCTCTCTGTGGTAAACCTTGGTAACCGACGAATCACCCAAAAGTTCAAAATATGGTTCGATACTATTCGCAGAGAGCGAGTATCTAGTAATTTCAAGTACATTAAATTCTTTGACGAATATAGCAAATTGAACCAAGTTGCATCCCAAGTACAATCGAAATCTCAAAGAATATGTTCAAGTAAACGTTACAAGGCATTACAAAATTACTGAAAGTCGAAAATAAATATTGATTAGGGGATATTACTTATCCTCTAGTATACTATACATGTATATTACTTATAGTTATAAAGTGTATAAGTATATGCTAGGTGGACCAGCTAAATATCTGCCT